GGAGTTGTGGGTCGGGAGCGAGGGGGCGCGGGCAGAGCTAGGTGTGGGGGGGGGGGGAGTTGTGGGTCGGGAGCGAGGGGGCGCGGGCAGAGCTAGGGTGGGGGGGGGGGGGGGCTGTGGGTCGGGAGCGACGGGTTCTCGCTGATGCTGCCGTTCTGCTCCCAGGGAGGTGGAGGGCTACATGAGCGAGCGGGTGAACTACGTCATCACGGCCCAGGAGTGGGATGACACCTTCGAGGAGGTGAGAGGGCTCCCCCCTGCTCTACCCCTGCCCCCCCTGCCCCCCCTGCACCACAATAGCGCCCCCTAATGGATGAGGTACATGTGTCCTCCCCTGGAGCAGGCAGGGGGCTGGCTGGCTCCGTGGGGACAGAGAATGGGACACGGGGCCTTTAAACTGTTTATGGCATTTGGGTGTTTAATGCAGGGCGTAGACTAGAGTCTTTGGAGCCAGGACTCCTGGGTTCTGTCCCTAATTGGGAGGGGAGTGGGGTCTACTGGCTGGAAGCTGGGAGCCAGGACTCCTGGGGTCTCTCCCCAGCTCCGGGAGGGGAGTGGGGTCTAGTGGCTCAGAGCAGGGGGGCTGGGAGCCAGGTCTCCTGGGTTCTCTCCCCGACTCTGGGAGTGGAGTGGGGTCTGGTGGTTAGGACAGTGGGGGTTGGGAACCAGGACTCCTGGGTTCTCTCCCTGGCTCTGGGAGGGGAGTGGGGTCTAATGGCTCCAAGCAGGGGGGTTGGGAGCCAGGACTCCTGGGTTCTCTCCCTGGCTCTGAGAGGGGGAGTGGGGGTCTAGGGGCTCAGAACAGGGGGGCTGGGAGCCAGGACTCCTGGGTTCTCTCCCTGGCTCTGAGAGGGGGAGTGGGGGTCTAGGGGCTCAGAACAGGGGGGGCTGATCAGATGCCGTCCTGGTGCTCTGTTCTCACTGCCCTGCCTTCGCCCCCCGCAGGCTCTGAACGACAACGCCAACCTCTCCTTCGTCCGCCCTCGCTGGATCTACACCTGCAACGAGCGTCAGCGACTCATCCCGCACCAGCCGTACGTGGTGGTGCCGCGAGCGTAGGGCGGCGCTCGGGGATCCCGCTGGCGCAGGGTGGCATAGACTCAGTGGGGCTCGCAGCTCTCCTGTGTACAGACGAGACGCTGGGCGGCTGTTCTCGGTCCCTGCCTCGGCCTCCTGTTCGCGTCAATGTCAACAACGGGCTGAGCTGGGCTGTGCCGGGGCAGGGCCGCCCTGGATGTACCCACCTCCCCTGGCCAGACTCCCTGTTCCCCTCGATGTACCCCCCCAATCTTCCCTCCTGGCTCCTCTACCCCCTTTTCCGCCAGCGCTGTCATTTCGACCTGTCGGGTTAAGCCTGGATTGAGTCTGTGTGCGGACGCCCCCAAAGGGATTTGAACCCAGCTTCTCGCTGTTCGCCCGCCCTACGAATACATCTCTTCGAACCGGTGTCCAGTCCCCTTTGCCCGCGCGGGCTTCCCCCCCCCTGTGTCCAGTCCCCTTTGCCCGCGCGGGCTTCCCCCCCCCCCTGTGTCCAGTCCCCTTTGCCCGCGCGGGCTCTTCCCCCCCCCGTGTCCAGTCCCCTTTGCCCGCGTGGGCTCTTCCCCCCCCTGTGTCCAGTCCCCTTTGCCCGCGTCAGTTCCCTTTTCAGTTAAACCCACCTGGCGTCTGCGGGCCGGAGTCTGTGACTGGAGGTGGAGAGCCCAAGGGGCTGGGTTAGATGCTAAACTCCAGAGCATTTACAAACCCAAAGCAAATGCAGGAAACCTTCCGTCCCTGCCTGACCGCCCCGGGGACGGTGCAGCCGGGGGCCGCTTTGCACCGTGAATTTCCACCGAGCCGCAGGGCGGGTGAGTTCAGGTCTTCGCATTTGCTCTGGGCAAGGAAATTAAGCTGGTTAGTTTCCTTCCCTCTCCCCCCTGGTCAGTTTCAGTCCTGTCTGGATGGTTTCCCTTTCTCCTGCCCTAGAGCCTGGACTGCTGTTTGTATTTGTGGGGGGCGGGGGCAGGTGGGAAGCTCTTTTATACAGAATTTTCTTTGAGCGAAATAAACCGCTTTCGGGTGAAGCTTGGTTTAAAAACCCCCTTTAAGGGGGGTGGGTCTGGTCTCGCTGCACCCCTGGCCTGGGCCCCACATGGAGGCTACAAGTCCTGAGCCCCCTACCTCCCACTGCAGCTGAGGAGTGGCCCCCCCCAGGTTTCTTTGAAAGGGCCCCACATTGTCCTTCGAAAGGAGACGTGCTGCTGCTGAGCCCCCCAGCTCTGTGCCCCCATGAACCCACAGCCCCCAGAGCTGCTTGGGGAGCGGGAGTGGCCCTGCTGCCATGAAATTGAACGCTGCCCCCGTCTGTGGTTCTGGGAGCAGCCTCTGCATGGAAGCTCTGGGCACTTCAGGCGTGTGATCAACGGCGGCATCGCGCTCTCTGGGCCTGAACGGGGCTGGAGCGACTGCTGCCCCCCAGGCACGCTCCATCCCCTCGGCGGCCCCGGGTCTGCGCAACCCCCATCTCCAGCCGTGGAGTCCTAACCCGTCCGTCCCCCTCTGAGCTCTAGCTAGGGATGGGGGTCTCTGCACGTTCGGATCTGGCCTGGGCAGGGAATCCAGCCGGGGAACTTTCTTCCCGGCTCTGGTCTGTGCCCGCGGTGCTTTCCTGACTCAGGCCAGCCAGGGGGAGAAGAGATGTGCGCGGGGGTCCTGAGCCGGAGCCCAGCTCAGCTGCTCCCCACACCACCTGGGGGGGCCTGTCCTTTGCTGCAGTGTGTCTCTTTCCTACTTAAACCTGTTAACGAGCCCAGGCGTGGCCCCCTTGTGTTGATCTGACCCCACACCTGCCAGCGAGCGGCAGAGATGAAGCAGGGGAGCTGAGAGAGACCAGGAGGTGGGTCCAGGGACAGAGGCGGGAGGGGCACTGGAAGAGCTTGGGAGGAAGGGAGCCCAGCGCTGGGATAGCAGAGGGCTGCCGGTTGGAATTGAGGGGCACTCGGACCTGGGTGGGGGGCTGTTCATCTGGAGTCTGGAACCTTGAGGAGGGGTTGGGGGAGTTCAAGACTCCCCGGGGGGTGATGTGTGTAAGATTTGGGGGGGGGGCAGTCAGCCCCTCCAGCGGAGGATGGACGGACGGGGACAGTCGTTATTACTTTTGTTTAGATTTCAGGTACCAAGGTACCATTTGTACCAAGAAAATAAAATGAGTGAATTTCTCCCCCCCCCCCCGCCCTGTCCTCCCCATGGGGTGTATGTGGGGAGGGTTCCACACACAAGACACTGGAAGAAGCTTCTATAAATGGAGTAAGCCTGCCTGTGCCCGGGGGGGGGCTGGGTCCCTCAGAACAAAGGGCACCTGAGCCTTGCATCCCCAGCTCCACGGGGATGGAAATCCGGGCCAGGAGGGAGGCTGATGCTTAGATGGTGAGCGCTGGGGGGCCAGGAGTGTCTCAGTGTTTGTGCAGTGCCTGGCACGGTGGGGTCCTCAGTCCTACCCTGATACACCAATAATAGACCGGGCTGAGCGCAATGGGGTCCTGGGCTGGGGCCATAGAAGTAACAGAGGTCAGAAGTGCTGCCCAGGTCTCCTTGGTCCCGCCTCCCCCCATCAATCTGCCTCTTTCACCACAAGATGTGGGGGGAAATATGTCTTGATCCAAAGAAGCGTCCAGGTGTGGGAGTGGGGCGCTAGCTCTGAGGGGCCCTTTCCCCTCTAGGGTTTGGGCTGGATCACAGTCCCGTACCAGTGATTTACCCCCCCTCAAGGCTCATTTAGTTTTGACTCTGTTGTTTAGTATTTTCTCGCTCTCAATTCTTGTAGCAAATTGGTTAAATTTCACCTACAACGTTTTAAAAATTAAAATCTGGGTAAAGTTATTTTTGTTACTTAACTTTTTTTTGTAACCTGCTACAGAAATTTCCCAGTCCACAATTTATCTTTGTTACTTTTGTTGTTTCTTTTCCGTCACATTCTTTCATCTGATTAATTTTACTGAGCAACTATCGATTTGTACCCAACACATTGTCACCTGGTTATAATAATCGGTAACTGATCATTGATAATCTATCATCCAAGATCTGTTGAGAGTATAGCAATAATTAATACTTATTAATAATTAACTAATGGTTAATGTATAATTAGGCTTGACAATTTGAGTTTTAGAATTTTTGACGTTAATTTTTTATTTAAAGCATTTTACATTTTCCCCCCTGATTTAAATGTTCACTGCTGCGGGAAGTTACGGGGCAGTCACACAACAGGGCGGGTCGGACAATAATTATTTGATCACTAAACGTGAAAGCTTTCTACCCGTTCCAACACTCCTTGTCGACATGGACAAGGCAAATACCCTGAACTCCAGCTCCGCTCTGTGCCCCAGCAGCGCTGGTCTCACGTCGCCCATCTGGACATTTCGATGCTCATCGATAGGAAGCTTTTTCCATCGGTTTGCGTGGGTGAAATTGACTTTTATCGATGTTTACTGAGAAAAACTGACCCCTTCCAAGGCAAGGTGTAACAAGACTCGTCACTGTTCATTAAACGTGCAATCTGGGCTTTACAACAAAATATTAATAATTAACACAACCAATCAGTCATTTATGTCTTTGCAAAGGCTTACGGCCAGCGGCCAACCTGACGCCAGCCCCCGCAGCAGGAAAATGGGGAACTCCGCAAGGATCTTAGAAGCAGAGCAGGAAAGGGGCCGAGTACATAAAGAAAGGTGAGGCGTGATCCGTGGGAGGAGGCTCGCCCGCACAATGCCAAGTCAGAACTAGGAGTCGGTAATCGGGCCTGCAGTGGGTATGGCGCCGAACGCTGGGGACGGAGGAAGCGACTGGGGTAGATTGTGCAGAGAGTGGGGATAAACCCATTCAACTGGACCCTGGGAGTAACAAGGCCGAACCGTGCTCGGAACGAACGAATTCGGGGAAGGATGAAGCTGGCACCGATTCTAGAACCGTGGAGGAGATCCAGCTTGGATGGTTTGGCCAGGGGGGAAGAAGATTGGAAGAACAGCCAGGAAACGGGGGATTTACGTTAGCTGTGGCGGGTAAAAGCCGGGTTAGAAGAGACCCAACGCTAGCTGGGGTTTGGTGAACAACAGCGTCTCAGGAACTGCTCCAAGACAGATGGGAATGGAGACCAGCTAGTCGCAGAGACAGGCTGAAGGCGAGGAGAAGAATCAAGCGTTTATCATCTAATAGAAAGTACGATGGGTGGTTAATACAGAGTGAGTATACCAGTGCTAATTTACAATTAACGATCGATAATTACTAATCATTAAGACTGATTTAGTCATGGAATCCGTGACTTCCAGCCACCTCCGTGACTTCAGCCTGCGGTGGTCGGAAGCTGTAGGGTCCCCCGCTGCCCGTGGGGCCAGGGAGCTGTGGGGTACCTCCACTGCCTCTGGCGGCCCCTGCAGCTCCCGGCTGCAGCGGGGAAACCCCTGAGCCGTGGATGGCAGGGGTACCCCGCAGCCCCGGTGCAGCTGCCCCGCATCGGGCGGTGTGGGCCACACTGGTCCCCATTTTGTCCGGGATATTTTTAGTAAAAGTCAGGGACAGGTCACGGGCAAAAAAGGAAAATTCACGGAAGCCGTGACCTGTCCCTGACTTTTACTAAAATTAGTAACAAAAGCTTACCTTAATAGTAAGGCTATCATTTAGAACATACAGTATTTTAATATATAATATATAGTCCCGAATTTCTAATACTTAATAAATAATGACGAATTTCTCATTTATAATATAAAGTAGTGTTAATATATAGTCCCTAATTTATCATACTAATTTATCATTTATGATATAAAGTGTTATACATGATAAATAGTAGTTATCATTTAGTTATGCTTATTTGTTAATTATTATAAAAATTGTATATTAACATATGATATACCATCTTTAATTTATAATAAATAATTACTAATAATGTATTTATAATATAAATTATTGTTCAATCTCTCATTTGATATAATTAATTATTAATATTTGATTTGTAAGTATTACCATATTGTTGAGTATCAGAGGGGTAGCCGTGTTAGTCTGAATCTG